TAAATATTATTATTATTATTGAAATGCCTTTTTTCACATTTTAATTGGATGTCTCTAATACATGAATTATTATGACAGGATTGTGTCTATTATGTTATAGTAATGACAATTAAGTGAGAGCGCTATGTTGCAAAATATAGTTATATTATATTTTGTAACATAGCCAATTTTGTACTGTATTTTTTTTGTATAGCCTATGTGATATGATATATTTTAGTGTAGCCTATTGTCATAGTACATGGTAGTTAAAATAGTTAAACAGTTACATTATAATGGGTTCAAGAACAGGACCGTAATAATCTTCAGGCTAAGCAATTTACATCTATGGTGAGCTAGTTACATGTCATTTTCATTGTCTTATAATGCACCCCGCACCCATAAGTGCCCTGCGGAATAAAGAGTACAATCACTTGCATGCTTTACCTACGTAACTTCAATGATAAAACCAATTTACTTATATACTATCTATTACTACAAATGCATAAAAGGTTAAATTTTAAGCGGCATATCCATATATTTTTACATAAATTAATGCTCCATTTAGTTATTCTGCTCAGTAAGCTTCTGATTTATGTAACAGTCGTATTATTTATTTTTTTATTTTTTTTTTTTGAGATATATACAAGAGTTGTTACATTCTTGTACAGCCACTAGTACGCGTAGCGTTTCGGGCAAGTCCTTAATCCTACGGTCCCTGGAATACGATCCCCTGCCGCGAAGAATCGTATAATTTATATTTGTCAAACACAATTATCCGTTCGACTTATCAAAATTATTATGCCAGCAGAGTAAAATGCCTAATCTAGGATTCCGGTGCACATACTAGGTCAACAAAAAACACCATCGCCTCATCCAGAATTTATTATTTAACATATTTACATAGTCGTCAAAACCGGACTAACTACAGCCAGGGTGAGTCCACAGCGTTCTAGAACTCTCGCAATTAACAATAAAAGAAGCAAACGTATAGCAACAGCAGCAGGTATAAAGTTGATGAGTAAGCAGTGTGTCATCTGCGACAGGTGAGCTTCAACACCAGCGAGATGGCCTGATGATATGACAAATACCGACAGGTACCGAGTTCCCTGCATCCCGGGCATCACTACCACCCACCTAGCTACAGTGAACGCCAAACTAAGGATCACGATGGCTAATGCATATGACACACAGCTATTAAAGGTAAATTACACGTACACTGGTAGTTGCAGCTGCTTGAGGTCAGCCAGCGCCTCATTACTAGTGGAATGGACAAGGGCATTGTGTCAACACATCCCTCACGAATATAACTTGCTTACACACGTCAAGATAGGGACCAGTGGATGGTAAGATTCAACTGCATATGATGGTGCCAACAACGACGCACGGTAATTACAAGTCACTAAGTAACGCATTTATTGGAGACGTTAAGGGCACTCTTTGTTTCCTGTGGCAGTGCATAAGGTCTGCTACATATAACCAGAATATTTAGAAATAAGCTTTATAAACAACCCATTGAAATCATCCAATTACAGACGTTTAATCCATGATCTCCCATGTCAGGATACAACATGGGTTATTTGTTAATTAAACTAGTAGATATTTAGTGGAAAATTTATGTATTAACCCACAACATCCAAGCGTGAGAAAGGATAATGAGTTATGTTAAATTCTTTAACTCAATATTTTGTCAATAGATGATGAAATGTTTGAACGAAAAAATATGTGGGACTACTATTCATAGAGTGTGAACTACATCACCATGTACGTTACTAAGTTATCTAGAAAGAAAACAGCTGAAATTCTTGAAGATATGATGCGATTTCTGGGGCAAGTGAATGTGTTTGTATGTCTAAGTCTTACAGTTTAGATGGTATTGCGGCATAAAATTAAATCTAAGCATCACCATCATTGTCACGTGAAGAATATCTAACTAGCCTAACAAAGCAAATAAACCTATTTCATGCTACTGCCAGATTAACCAAGATATTAAAACAAACGTCGAGATACAGAACAGTAAAAGGAATATGAAGCTTTTGTCAGCTCTTAATAAATCCCAATAATTGAGCCCCGTCTGAATACCACTCACGCAGCCTAACGGTTTGCCGTTAATAATAATATTAATCATGAACAACATACACATTAGCTGTTCTACACTGTACAATGGTCCATGCAAAAAATACGTGACTGTAGTATTGCTACAATGAATGGTAAATAGTTTTCCTTTATTCCCACCCCTCACTAATACATTGCCTTTCATGACCAAAGGCTGATCATCAAATTCATAATACCACTGTGAACAAGGCACTAAATGATGAATACAATAATTAGGGTTTAAGAAATTATAATTGCAATTGATAGTTTCATGATATAATTAACAAAAGAATCTGACCGTCTTCCCAGTAAATGAGTATGGCAAAACCAAGAAGATCAACGATCTAATTCTAGCGGGTTTCGCTGTTCGATATGACTTTCAAGTTGCATAACATTCACTGTACGAGAACTAGACAATTGTGATGTACAAGGCTGATATATTGTATATTTCTATTTTCATAAAGTATTGAAAAACTTTACACTGAAGTCGACCAGTTAAATATTTTAGGTTGCTACTCGAGTCAGTTTATTCCCATTTATTTTTTGGACTGTTTTCAGAGGCATTATGAGGTGATGCCTAGTAACAACTATTAATGTTAATGCAATAACTTAAAATCATAGTCATTGCCTAGAAAGTCTCAATTATGCCTCCTCAAATCACGGTTATTAAACTTTTAAAAGCATGATAACCAGCCACCTGTACACACAACTTCCTCCATCCCCCGGTTAAGTTGCACATCCCACTCTCACACTCCTCCGTCTCTCGTCATTATTGCATATGAGATTGCTGCTGCTGGTGAAATGACAGACTACAGATGGTAGGCAAGAAATTGTTACAAGTGAATGTCTTCTGCAGCACGATCTCAAGATAAGGCGTTTAAAGAAGTGTGCAAAACCTGACATACATTTCCTGACATACACTCTACGCAACCCTCAAAGTCAATAATTATAATCAACATGTCTTCACATAATTGTATAATATCAATTTACTTTCCTTTGATGGCATTTCAGGTTATAAATATTTATCTAATACATACAGGGCATCAAAAGTAAAGGCCTAGTGCTGAATTTTCTTATTTTTTGTTAATTAAGTTGTTGAGATTAAAAGCAATGTCAAACATCGGGATTTCATAAGAAATTCTGTCGCTGACCAGTATCAGAGGCATAACCCACCCTGCTGACCACAATATGCTATACACATTAGAAGAAAACGCTTGCCAGCTCACAATAAGTTATAGACTCAGTTACTAACACAAATTACACACACTTTTGGGGAGGCACTCTGAGACTGAAGTGTGTGTGTCAGTGCACTCTACGTGTTATATAACTATAATCTTCCTAGGCCTTGGCAATGCGACCTGCACATCACCTCTGACTTTGTCTCCGGAAAGATTGTTAGTGAACATCATTTGCAACCAAATTACACTGAAGACATAAACATCAACGTCACCATGAAGTGAAGCAAAATTCATTATACTAGAGAAGCCTAAAGCATGATTTGAATCGCAGGCTCAACCCCGGGGTTCCCCATCGTCTATGGACCATCTGTGTTCAGACTTGTACACAGGTACTTCGAGCGGCGTACTCCCATGTCTCTGTGTATATACGCTGAGATTATTTTAGTCCTGGTCTACGTTCAGGACTAAACTATTCTTGCTGGCTGGTCAGCAAGCTGTTGTCACGGCCTCAATAGCCTTCGTGTACTTAATAGGCCTCAAGCCCAGTACCAAACCGACACCGACTTGGTCCTACATACACAGCACCCACCTCAGACCGCATTACGCTCATACACAGGGTCGTTGTCCCTCCTAAACTATGAGTACTGCTCTGTTTGCATTTATATACATCATGGTGTATCATACGTCTGCACAAGATTTTGTCAATCACGTTGAGGAGAAATTGATGATTGGTCAAATACATATCAAATTGCTCTTCAAGGCTTAACTTATACCGTTAAATCTAGTTAAGTTGTCTTGTCTACACATAATGTTTGGTGCATTCTATTCATCTCAGAGATCTAGCTTTCATCTGGGGTTGAATTTTCAATCATGTAGTTTAGATTAAAATTCAAGCGCAGACACTGAACCTTAACAAGAGAAGCTACCAGGTAACTTCAGTAGTTATATACAGACGAGCAGTTACCTCACACGAACGTTATGATCAATAAAGGTGGTCAGTATATCATGTGATCACTAATGAATGGAAAATGTCACGTTATTCATGAAGGGTATAAACACATTGCATTAAGTAGTAATAAACGAACATTGATTTCTACGATGAACTTGGTAAAAGGAATGTAATCAGAAATATAACAATGCACTCTTAAGGTAGGCTTCCTCTTAGTTATTTCGAACAATTATATTTACAATTTCTAATATATTACACGATCTATTAAAGGGGAGCCAAATAGCTGAATTAATTACTCCTATTTTCCATCCTGGCTATTGCATGGTGTTAAACATGTTAATAACAAGTTTTGCAACTGTGACTATCTAAATATTTTGACATCAAGCGTGCTAGACACTTGATATTTTTTGCTTGAAAAAACTTATGGCATATACAACGTTTTCGTAACTTTAAATGAGGAGAATATACATACAGTATATTTAATATTATTGTTGAATTGTGCTATTTCCTCTAATTGTTTAGCTAAAAATGTTCGTTCAATTTCATTACAATGATACTTGTATTAAGAAATATTTTTAATATAAAATATCAAAAGAATTATTAACTTGTAATATCAACCTATTAACTATATCTACATTTATTATTAATTAACTTGTCCATCCCGTGTCCCTTGTGGAAGTCATGCATTCTCTAGATGGTTTTTATATAGATACATACTCACACAGTATATATATATATATATATATATATATATATATATATATATATATATATATATATATATATATATATATATGTATATATATATATATAATGACGTCTTTTCATTAATTTGTGTTACGTTCATGTAATGATTATTCCTCCTAATTTGTTTGACATCAGAATGCTAATTAAAATTTGCATATAAAAACTAAATCGTTTTCATTCGTTGTTTTGGGCCTCTTACACACTAACATACTATACCTCCTCTCTCTTCCCTCTGGAGTTTTTCATGCTCCCCCGTCATATTTTCCTGCTGGAGTTGGCGTGATATCTTTCATTGGCTGCGTCTCGTCCGGACTCTCGTCTTGTCTTGTTCCGGACTCCTCTTGACCCGATAATGCTGGTCTCTTCATCAACAATCAGGTGTGTGTGTTGTGTTCGTTTCCTGTTCGCAGGCCAGAGCAGCGTCCTACAGGTACATGCCGTTGACGAGGTAGTCTGCGTCGTGAGCGTAGGGCGAGCGGGCCCCTCGGTGCCTCCGTAGCCTGCGGCGCACCCCCCGCAAGCGGCACCCTACTAGCACCACCAGCAGGGCCGTGATGCACACACCTGTACACACACAAACATGCCTAGCATCTTGATTTCATTTACAAGAAAACGTTTGGCAATAAGCCACGTATATTTACTTCATTTTTGACAAAGCATGATTAAAGTTAAAAGTTAATAGGTACACAAACTGAAAGAACATTAAATATTAAATTAAAAAAAATATACAAAGTTGAAAGCTGTAGTGAGAAACTTTCAATTACACGTTAATAGCGCACAATTATGAGGTGTAATGAAAGTCAGACTTAACCTGATATTATCTTTGCATGAGTCAACTTGAAAGTCAACTTTCAGAACAGTCAACATGGAAGCCCGCATGGGAATGAGTGATCACTGTGTAATAGCATTTTAATATCTTGTGAAAGTACTGTTCAAGGGAAAAGATCAGAGGTAGGTGGCATACCGAAGAGAAAGGCATAAGGAAATTAGAGACATTCTGTCAGGAATACCATGATACGCAAAACGATAAAAAACGCTGGTCTAAATATGCAGAATATAACTCAGAGGCTTCAAGAACAAATTAACTTCTTCATCTATAAAAGCTAGTAAGCTGCCGACAAATTTATCTAAGTGAAAAATTTGAAAGGCTTAACCTTGGTGTAAGTAAGAATGTTAGGAAGCAAAGCGCATTGCCATGATGGCACAGAAAAAAATAAAGAATAAAGGAACAACAGAGAACACAGAGAGGAACCAGTGAACCAGTAATGAGAGTCTAGGAGATAAAAAGGAAGCAGAAAGGTAAATTAAAACGACATTGCAGATAAGGCAAAAATCCGACTCAAGTCGCTTCAGAACTGCATCAAGATGGAAATAACAGTAAATGAATATGTGTTGAAACTGAGGATATGAGATGATGCATTCACTGAGGATGACAGGAGAGTGTGTGAGGAACTTGTCAAGAGATTTCAGATTTTTTTAACTGAGGAAGGATAAATTGCTGAACTGAGAGGGATGGTGTCATACAAAGCAGCGCTGGAGAACTTTGAGACTTTCAGGGATGAAGTAAGGAGGCATCTGTTGAAGCCGGACATGGCTAAGGCTGATAACATACAAAATAAACAGAAAACTTCAGCTTGCCACTTACTATGATATATAAAAAGTCACTGGAAATAGAACTACTAGAAAGTTTTCCTGGAACTACCACGATAACACATCACAGCCTGAAACTACCACGATAACACATCACAGCCTGAAACTACCACGATAACACATCACAGCCTGAAACTACCACGATAACACATCACAGCCTGAAACTACTACTGTACCCTACCGCAGTCTGGAACTACATTATTTCCCGCCACATACCCATGGCGAGTGCCAGTACAGCTCCCGAAGCTTGGGCATCCTGTTCCCTGGCCTGCATCTCCAACTCCTCCAGGTTGACCTCAAGGCGGGCCAGAGACGCATGCGCCACTGTGTTGATGGGGTCGTGGGCGGCGTGCGCGGGCGCCTGGGCGTACGACCCCATTGGGGCAGTTATCTCCTTGACGCCCGCGCTACTGTTCGTTCCATTCGTAGTCGTCATCCCTGTTGGTAAGATAATCGTCATCAATTCCGTTTGAACCAGCTGGGATTCAATGGCATTTTTGACGAAGGTTTTGGATAAAAATGGAATTTAATTGGGATTTTCCATCATATACATTAGATAAACATTACAAAAAGAAAGCGCTTATGAATAAACTGTAATTCGTTCTCCAAAATGAAGTTGCTCCAACTCCCTGTATTACAAGGATAAACTTATGTTATCGCATATGCCAGGAAGGTTAAGTAAATGTTTCTGGTGAAGCACATTCGTATTTTCAAGGCCTGGGATGCCTAAGTAAAAATTGGAATACGTAGAGAGAAATGATTACAGAGGAAGTATAGCTTTAGGCTACAACTCATCCGAGGGTGGCGTTGTACAATTAACTCATCCAAGGGAGGCAACGTACCTGAGGATGATGTTGCAAACCTTTCCTTCATGTTGCAATTACACGTCCCAACGAGATGTCACGGTACTTTGTGCTTAAGGTTTACCCACACTGACAAAAGATAAATTCTGCAACATACAATCCAGCACAGCCACAGCATGAAGGTAGAGTTAACACAGGAGCCACTAAGAGCTTACTGAATTACGCTGATTAGGAAATACTGTATAAAATGTATATATATGTGTGTGTATGTATGTGTATAAAATATATGTGGAAGCTGACCAAAATTACATTTCATCTTTGTAAATGCACATTAATGACACTATGTAAAAGACACATCGAACACTTTATGTAGCATACATAAATCTGTGTATCTATGTATTTACGTATGTAGCTTAGCCTAGCATTTTAAAAGCACTACAATCACCTTCTGTGGTTGATTGTTCAATAAATCCCTGAACTATATGTTTGACAAATCTCTCACCCTGTCCATGGAGGACAGAAGAAAATGTATATATGCTGGTTAGCATTGTAAATGTGTGACCACGTCTGTAGTAGAAAATAATAATAATAATAATAATAATAATAATAATAATAATAATAATAATAAAAAGTCTTGTGGAAAGAAAATCTGAATAACTTCAACTTGATGCTGTTGGGAAGAATCATCTTCAATTGTAACTAGCCTGTCGAGAACAACCAGGTTTTCTCCTTCCCTACCAATGTTTAAGTATTTAATGGTAGTTCAACAGACAGTTAGCCAGATAGGTAGGTAGGCTCTTTTAAGCATTAAACATGTGGTTAATTTGCAGTCGATTATGCAACTGTATTATAAATCTATTATTGAATCGATTATGCAACTGTTTATTTGGTGACATGAACTAGTGATAATATACATTAAATCTGTATTTTCGTCTCTAGCTTGGCAGCTATATACCTCAGCACTAACAATTAATTTCTCATAGGTTACAGATCTGGTAACATTGTCCATTAACATGCTATGGCTGTGAGCCAAAGTTTATGAAGAAACTTGATCTTTTAATGATAATTCAAATCAACACTGGTTCCTCTACAAGGCAAGTAATTTCTCCGTCAGACGGGGCAGCGCCGTAAGCAAGACTCACCTGTGGACGGCGTTACAAGAGGAGCCATGGTAGAGGTGCTGGTCTTAGGCATTGGTGGCAGTACTTCACTGTTCGCAGGTATTTGTCTACTCGTTCCACCCGTCATATCCATCTGAAATTGTTGATCTAGTTAGGCGTTTGTCAATGACTATTGTCACATAAGTATATATATTTACTTATTGATTTCCGGTTTAAGCTGCATTTGCATATTCGAAAATTTTCCAACCTGTACTCCTTGGATGTTGGCTTGTATACTGGCCGCATTGTGTTGGTGTTCTAGTGTAGGAGGTAGTTGGTATGGCCCAGCAGGCTGCTGCCCAACTACCTGTTGTTGTTGCTGTAGCTGTTGTTGCTGCAGCTGTTGATGCTGCATAACTGACGGCGTTTGGTGCAGGTCTTGTATTTGCTGGTGCAACTGTTGCTGACTTTGTTGTATTGGATAGTTAGGTTTATCCATCCATACAGGCTGGTAGGACAAATATTAGGCATCAGGAGAAGTATAGTGATCTCGAAAATATTGTAACTGTATGGCAGTACTAGGAGAATAGAAGTAGCGTAGGGCCCAAGACCTGAAAAACGTATGGGGTGCCCCCTACGAACCCGCCTTAACTTAGACTATCCTAACCTAAACCTAACTGAAGCTAACGAAAATAAGAGATAACATTTTGCGTTTTATACATGTTGTGCACAAGGCTGTGACGTCACTATGACCTCATAATTATATTACCAGTACAGGTTTCGGCTCCTACTGGTTCTGCAGAGATAAAATATTATTTGTCATGTCATATGTCACGAGCTTCAATCCAGATAATAGCATACACTTAATCAATATTTCTTAATTACTTGTAAACATAATAATGGATGTATTTATTAAACAGCCTAATAATACTGTTAATGCATTAAATTACAACATATTTGTAATGTACTTAAAATTATGATGTTGCCAAGACATTTACTAATTTATTGAAATACAAAGGAATTATTGATAGGTAAAATATGTCAACAACAATGTTTGAGTGTGTGACAGCAACTTGTTCTCAAGACATAACATACTTGTTCTCATAAGCTGACAAATTTATAATTTTAAACAGCTTTTGCCATCCCACCTAACCTAGCCTAGTAAGGCTAGGCTTCGTTACTCCGAGGAAGTATTCAAGTGAAGTCTAGTAAACCACCATTAATATGAATAGTGGTGTGCAGATCGACCAAATTGAGAGGTATTTAGTGAGAGAATGGGTTGGTGAAAGTGTTTGAAATTTGTGACAGTATGTTTAAGCAAGTGAATCAGTGTGGACGGTCCCTGACTGCACAATTACCCTGGCGAGCCGGAGAACTCTGCGAACTAACAAGCTAGCTAAGCTTGTTAAGGTAATAGAGTAATATTAGAGAAAACTATATTACGTAATCATTCTTATCCGTGGCTGATGCTAAAAAATATATAAATTACATTGTTGCTTATCTGCGGCTGCTGCATGGGCGGGAGTAACTGCTGCTGCTGCTGCTGCTGTGGCTGCTGCTGTGGCTGGCCATAGTCTGGGTAGTGGAAGGCTCTGTGCCCGTCTGCGCCCATGTAGTGGTCTCCTCGGCCTCCCACATCACCTGCAAGCCAAACACACATTGTATTCGAAGCCATCGCAATCAATAGCTTACTAATCATTAATTTTATTTTCAACTAAATCGATCAAATTGATGATGATGACAAAATAAATCGTGAACGTAAATTTATTTGCTCTACTGATAACAGGAGTACATTATTGTACTATTTGTTACTAGGGTCTGTAATTGCTTTGCTCCTAGATAGTCATCATAATGCTGTAAAGTCATCATAATTTATATAATAATCATCATCAACGTCGTTTTCAGCGTTATCATTAATAACGCCGTTATCGTGATAAATGCCGCCATCATAATAAATGGCGTTATCATTATCATCATAATTAATGCCCTGGTCGTTGTTGCTATCATCATAAGCATACTCACATCATTGTCCTCGACATGATCAACATTGTTACCGGCTATAAGAAGTGCATGAATAATGTAGATATTTGTAGATATTTGATATTAAAGTGTAGAGGGAACCTCATTTGAACCGGTCGCCGGCGGGAAAGTTCCCTCCAGAAGCACGGGACCGCGGCTGTGATAGGTTGGGCCCAGGGGCCACTGGGGGCGCTGAGGCCACTGGGGGCGCTGGGGCCACTGGGGGCCCTGGAATTACACCGAGCCTACAAGACGACTAAAGACTGCTCCAGCCTCCAGGTGAGCCCTCCTCAGTGTACTCAACCAAAGTCTCACTCTGCAGAGGCGACGCCATTACGTGGTACTGGCGTCCTTCTACAGAAGAGACTACAATCTAATGCCAAGCCTAAATGCTGCAGTTAAAATATTCTGTGAAAGAAGTCATGATTCTGAGAACTTGCTTTGTGATGGAAAGATAAAAAGGGGTTTCATATTATTTTTAAGTAGAGTGACACAACTGGTTACTAACCTCCATTATACATGGGTCCTGCCCAGGCGGATCTCTGATTGTAGTCGTAGTAACCACTGGGTGCCCGGCTTCGTCCACCGTACACTTGGCTGTCATCCTGTGGTCTAGAGATATGGATAAAAATTCTGGTTAAGTCCGTAGGTTACTGAGGGAGAGAGACAGAGATTCAGAGTCAGATAGAGAAGAGAGGCGGTGGAGGTTCGTTTTCTACAATGATAACGACGACAGAAAACGACATTGGAAAATATTTGATGGTAAACTATACAATGAATTCACCGAGCAACCACACTACACATGAGAACGAGTGGCAGAGCCGACAACTCACCCCCCTGACGGCTGGTAGGGGCTGTAGGTGTCCAGAATGTTGGGTCGGCGGCTGAAGATGCCGGGCGGGTATCCTGAGGAAAGACAGTATTTATGTTAATATCTAATCTCTAAACGAAGGTGATGCTAGCATGCAGACTAACATCTGGTACAGATTTTGCAACAACACACAAGAGTGACGAAGACAACTACAGGATAGTTCACTATCAGGAAATAGTGCAACATGCTAACCATACAAACAGATAGATAGCAAAAATTAGCCGGTACAGCTAAGGAAGCAAAGAAACATTCAAGAACATTCAAGACTCCTGAAACAGAGAGAGAGAGAGAGAGAGAGAGAGAGAGAGAGAGAGAGAGAGAGAGAGAACGTTTGTTCTGGCTCTCAGGCTACGAGCTGAGGACTACTGGCCAGTGTATAAGTCTCCTTCAAGTTCTCAAAACTTTATATCATATCTTCCATAAGGGAACAACGCACACAGCAAGGCACAGGAAAACGATTGTTCTTCTCGTTCATATACGGTATGATTTGAAAGTTGTTGATCAATTGACCATTGGTATTGTGTACACCAGTCGTCGTTGGTCAGTGAACCAATACGGGACCATTGGTAAAAAAGGAAAGGAATTTCCGATTTCACCTTCAGGTATGGCTTGATCTCAAGCTGAGAGCCCTCTTGGGTGTGATCTTCAGAGGCTTTGCTCATTCAGCGCGCGCACGCACGCAGGCATATGATTACACACACACACACACACACACAAAGACCAAAGAGCCAGAGCTCAACCCCCGCTAGCACAAATAGGTGAGTACACACACACACACACACACACACACACTGAGGCGGGACCAAAGAGCCAGCGTTCAACCCCCGCATGCACAACTAGGTAAGTACACACACACACACACGAGGGCCTCGCGGCTGAGTAGACAGCGCTCTGGGGTAGTAGTCCAAACGGCCCGGGTTCGATCCCCAGCAGAGGCAGAAACAAATGGGCAGAGTTTCACCTTGGTGCCCCTATTCATCTATCAGTAAATAGGTACCTGAGAGTTAGACAGCTGCTACGGACTGCTTCCTGGGGATGTGTGTGAAAGAGAAATAGATGTAGTAGACATAATAGAGGGAAAAAAATGGTTAGAAAGGCGGGGTCCAAGAGCTAATAGCTAGATTCTACAGATACAAATAGTAAATACACACACACACATATTGTCAGGAAAGAAGTCTTGTAAAGAATGGTATTTCAATCACAGAACTTTCTATGTACACTAATAAACTAATAACTTACATCTACTGATATAGAGCTTTTAGGACATTGATGGCTTTTAATGTCACAAAACAATCAAAACAAACAGGTGTGTGTGTGTGTGTGTGTGTGTGTGTGTGTGTGTGTGTGTGTGTGTGTGTGTGTGTGTGTGTGTGTGTGTGTGTGTGTGTGTGTGTGTGTGTGGAGGTGCTTTACCCTGACCAGAGTTCGGATAGCGGGAGGCTCCTTGCCAGACATCACCACTCGAACTGAGGTCTGCTGGAAGGACGACATTAATTAGTTCTCCAACAACACACCCGACCACAGTCGTGCAGTCATCTAGCCTACACATGACTGTAGCACCGAGCACGCTGCTACAACACGGCCGTGTATATATTTCTGAAGGGTATGGTAGCCTACCTTACCCAACCTGCTGTTTCAGGGGGTTTAGTGAGCTCTTAGTGACACAATTCGGCCTCCACACTTAAACATATAATTTATTCATACTTTTAGAGATTACAGAACATCTTACGTGTATAGTTTGCAAGCTAACAGACACCGTTCTGCACATGGGTAACACTTAGCTCACACGAATAATAAGCAACAAGTATTTATAAAATATCCATATATGCACGTATAAAATGGGTCAAGGGTTGGTTTCATGAGGTCAAGGGTTGGTTTCATGAGTCAAGAGGTGGTTTTAATGAGGTCAAGGAGGGGTCTCATGAGGTCAAGGAGTGGTTACATGAGGTCAAGGAGTGGTCTCATGAGGTCAAGGAGTGGTCTCATGAGGTCAAGGAGTGGTCTCATGAGGTCAAGGAGTGGTCTCATGAGGTCAAGGGTTGGTTTCATAAGTCAAGGGGTGGTTTAATGAGGTCAAGGAGTGGTCTCATGAGGTCAAGGAGTGGTTACATGAGGTCAAGGAGTGGTCTCATGAGGTCAAGGAGTGGTCTCATGAGGTCAAGGAGTGGTCTCATGAGGTCAAGGGTTGGTTTCATAAGTCAAGGGGTGGTTTAATGAGGTCAAGGAGTGGTCTCATGAGGTCAAGGGTTGGTTTCATAAGTCAAGGGGTGGTTTAATGAGGTCAAGGAGTAGTTTATGGCTAAGACGTCGGAGAAAGGGGAAAGTTAAGAAATCTAAAGTCATAGCAAGAGGTGGGGTCAAGAGGTGAAGGCTCAGAGTAAAGAGGGAAGCTGAAATGATATAATATTTAGACCAAAAACAACTGTTGATGAAACACAACATAAAACATACAATCTAAATTGACCAACTTAGAAACGTCTTGCGGCCGGACACAAACGTCTTGAAAACGTTTCATTCGTGAATTTAACGTTAGAAACCATCAACAATTTAGTGTACTCAGCCTCCCTCGGACTCTGTTGTCCAGCTACATAGTCCGCCTATCCCTCCATACCATCCCTCCAGACCCTATCCCTACCCTGCTAGGAGGTACACACTCTCTCGCCACAGGTAGTGAAGGAGGAGGAAGGAAAAAGATGGCATTATCAGGGGTAAAGCGACAATCCATTACGACTATATAGCATTAGGAAGGGATTAGGATAAGAATTTGAGATGGGACGGAGGGGAAAAAGGAATGGATCCCAGCCACCTGGACTGTCGGGGATTGAACACCGACCTGCATGGAAGGGAGGGAGGGAGGGTAGGCGTGGGACTCACCGTTCTTGGCTGGTCCAGGGTTGTCCCACGTCGTACCAGCTGTCTGTCCCTGGTCTCCACCACCTGTCTCGTCCCCAGGGCGCCTTGCCGCCGCCACCACTCCCTCGGTGGAGGCTGGTGAGATGTACAGGCAACACTGATACATTACTGCAGCGTGGCACACTCATCTTAGATAATATGGCAACTTTAACTCAATACTCATGTATATAGCACACTGCCATAACCATTGGTGGTGTACGATAACGGAAGAATTATATCATGGATAACATAAGTTGTGAGTAGTGGCACTGTAGCATGGTGAGGGAAGGGAATTATCAGGGGGTAAGCGCCAAGCCATGACGACTATATAGTACTTGGAAGGGGTCAGGATAAGGATTTGGGATGGGACGGAAGGAAGGAATGGTGCCCAACCACCTGGACGGTCGGGGATTGAACGCCGACCTGCATGAAGCGAGACCGTTGCTTTACCGTCCAGCCCAAGTGGTTGGACTGTATCATGGTGAGTGACAGTGAGTGTATCATGGTGAGTGACACTGTATCATGGTGAGTGACAGTGAGTGTATCATGGTGAGTGACACTGTATCATGGTGAGTGACAGTGAGTGTATCATGGTGAGTGACACTGTATCATGGTGAGTGACAGTGAGTGTATCATGGTGAGTGACACTGTATCATGGTGAGTGACACTGTATCATGGTGAGTGACACTGTATCATGGTGAGTGACAGTGAGTGTATCATGGTGAGTGACACTGTATCATGGTGAGTAACACTAAGTGTATGACGGTGAGTGACAGTGCCAAGAAGGCCAGCATGACCCACCAGGAGGACACCCAAGGGCAGGATCCTCATCACTGTTGTCCTGGCACTGCGGGATGCCGTCACAAGCGTTGTAAATGGCTATACACTCCCCACTGTGGCACTCGAACTGGAACCGGCTACACTTCCTCGCTGTCAAACACAAGGAAACAACATTAATTATTTACAACACACGTACATATGACTAATCTACTTCACTGTACTTCAGGCAGCGTAACAACTGTGACATCTCACGAAAGTACGGAAAGGGAAATGCTTTCCCATCACTATGACGGAAACAAAGAATGGGGAAATAGTCCCCATCACTATGCGGACAACTGTGAATACAGCCCCGAGTGATGGAACTATGCGTCACGCTAGACATAATAGCTAACAGGAACGATCTTGTTATACACACCAGCCTCTGTAACCCTTTCCACTACCGCCCACAAGATGGGTATGGGGTGCATAATAAATGAACTAACAATACACACCAGCGGAAATGCTAGTTTAGCTTGAGCATCCCTTTCACTCGATTTGCCACTTAGCAAAAGATGCAACGGTTTCGTCTTGCCAGAAATGTACAAACGCAACCAACTCTCCTGACCTGTCGAGGTCGATGCATTGACAACGTCCATATTACGGTGCTTACATTCTTGCCAGTACGCTATGCATGATCCAGGGTTGTAATGACTGGAAATGATGAAGGTAATACTGGGACACTTTCAACTCCCTGCGTTAATACAGTTAATGATACATTGGGAAATATTAATAGTGGCGCCATCTCCCGCCCGCTACTCTTCCTGTTACGCCCACCACGTGTTCCGTAGTGGCAGAGGCTACGGTGAGGAGGAGGAGGCTACGGTGAGGAGGAGGAGGCTACGGTGAGGAGGAGGAGGCTACGGTGAGGAGGCTACGGTGAGGAGGAGGAGGCTACGGTGAGGAGGCTACGGTGAGGAGGAGGAGGCTACGGTGAGGAGGAGGAGGCTACGGTGAGGAGGAGGAGGCTACGGTGAGGAGGAGGCTACGGTGAGGAGGAGGAGGCTACGGTGAGGAGGAGGAGGCTACGGTGAGGAGGAGGCTACGGTGAGGAGGAGGCTATGGTGAGAAAGAAGGAAGAGGCTACAGTGAGAAAGAAGGAAGAGGCTACAGTGAGAAAGAAGGAAGAGGCTACAGTGAGAAAGAAGGAAGAGGCTACAGTAAGAAAGAAGGAAGAGGCTACAGTGAGAAAGAAGGAAGAGGCTACAGTGAGAAAGAAGGAAGAGGCTACAGTGAGAAAGAAGGAAGAGGCTACAGTAAGAAAGAAGGAAGAGGCTACAGTGATCAAGAAGGAAGAGGCTACAGTGATCAAGAAGGAAGAGGATACAGTGTGAAAGAAAGAAGAGGCTACATAAATTCTCACATTATAAAATCTTAAATGATACAACAATATGCAAAAGGTCTGTCTATTGCCTCACGAGAAACAACTCCAATTTACATACACACCAAAACATATGACGTTAGAAACAAACTATCAAACTCCGTCTATTATGTTAACCGGTAATTTGTTCCACAAGTCAACAGCCTTATTTCCAAACTAACATATACCCAGAACTTTCCCCATGTGCAGATTTGGCAATTTTAACATTGTGTACGACTAACTAGGCTGTGAACTCCGAGGTTTGTCAACAATTCCCCCGCCTGAATTCCCTTCAATCCCCCCCACCCCCCATCGCTGTAATACCCCCACCTCCCCCCCCTCATAACCTATGTCATGCTCAAGTATAATTACACTTAAAAATAGACAGCGCCCCTGCCTAGCCATGGTGGGTCCCGGGGATAGAGTGGCGCGTGACTAGTGCGTCATCCACTTCCTGTGTTGGATAGTCAACACCTAGGAACCTACGCCCAGGTAAATGTGGATGGGTGATTAGTGTGTGATGAAGGAATAGTCGTGCTGTGTTGAGAGTGACGGCTGGATAGATAGGTGGAGGATGGGTGGACGGATAGGCAGAATGTTTATGGGTAGGTATAAATATAGATAAAAGGTAGCGAAATAGGTAGATAGACAAATAGGCAGAATAGATAAAGTAGAACATAGAGGAGAATATAGTCGGGACTAGGTTGGTTGTTGTTGTTGTTTTAGATTCAGCTACTCAGAACGAAGTGTCCATGTAGCACGGGCTATGGTGAGCCCGTAAACTTGATTGGTAGACAAGCGGGTTTAAGTAGTGTGAATGTGGACGTCTCACCCACCCTGTGAGGGGTGACAGTTCAGTAATGTTTTGCCGGAACGGTGACATGGGGGAAGGCGTGACAGGGAAATAAATGGAAGCTGATGAACCAAGAAATGGGAGAGGAATCATATTTGAAGGAATGAATACGGAGAGGATGATGGTAAATAGGACGAGGGATTCAAAGAAAATGGGCGAGTGGTATGTGACGAAGGAACTTGAAACAATGATGGAGTAACAAATGGGGGGTAATGAGACTAAAAATGGGGGAAAGAGTGATGATAATATCTTCATATTGCACCACGGGCCATACAATGGAGCACCACGGGTCATACAATGGAGCACCACGGGTCATACAATGGAGCACCACGGGCCATACAATGGAGCACCACGGGCCATACAATGGAGCACCACGGGTCATACAATGGAGCACCACGGGTCATACAATGGAGCACCACGGGCCATACAATGGAGCACCACGGGCCATACAATGGAGCACCACGGGTCATACAATGGAGCACTACGGGCCATACAATGGAGCACCACGGGCCATACAATGGAGCACCACGGGCCATACAATGGAGCACCACGGGTCATACAATGGAGCACCACGGGCCATACAATGGAGCACCACATGACCTCCAATGGCCAGGTTAACCAGATTTCTTTTTGTTTCCCTCCGCACTGTGATGAGGGGCTCTGTTGTTGAACACTATCTCTCCCCCACGACTTTGTCCTCCTGAAGGTGGGAAGGGGGGGTTGGCCAGAAGGGGGGAGAGAGAGTGGACAGGGGGGGAGGGGGAGGGAAGAATGTTGGAGAGGGAGAGGCACACTACCAAGGGAGGTGTTGGGAGTGTTGCCTGACAAACATGTGTGTGGAGGGGGAGGAGGAAACACCTGCGCTGCTGCTCTCAACACACTAGTGTCACTAGCTCATTGTAACACTTGTATTATTTAACCGCTGTAGCATCTGTTTATACCGGACCATTAAAACACCTGAGCATCCGGATCACGAAACACGTGTCATTTGCTATTGAGTTAAACATTATGGAGAGTCAATCACGTGTTAAATTATCGTCCTTAGGAAGCTTTTGTCTCCAGATGAACTTTTTGTCAGCGTACTGCATTTTCTTTTCTATATTTTTGTTAATTTTCCATCAGTCTAATGTACTATTTTTTAGGAGGACGCTCCAAGAATCACCATTGAAATGCAGGGTTAACGACACGGAGGAAGGTTCTCAATAGACGTGAAAAGAGGCGATGATGGTGGGAGGTGGGGGGGGGGGGGAGGGGGAAGGGGGGGAGGGTTGTGTGTTTGTTGGAGGAGAGGGGGAAGAGATAGTTGTTTGTGGGGGGGGGGGGGAAGGTTGTGAAAGGGAAGGGAAAGGACGGTTGTGTGTGTTGGGAGGGGGAGGATGATTGTATGGGGGGTAGGGGGTTGTGTGTAATTACCTAAGTGTGGAAACGCTTTGAAACTCCTGACGGTCTTGGCCACCACCACCTTCTCACTTAGCGTGTGTGTGATTGATAAAGATTAAGCCACCCAAGAGGTGGCACGGGCATGAATAGCCCGTAAGAGTGTGTGTATGTGTGTATGTATATATATATATATATATATATATATATATATATATATATATATATAAAAGCACTACACCCCTTCCCCCCGCCCACCCTCCGTTCTCACACACATGTAACTAAGCTAGGCGAGCAATGCCCCAGCGAGTAAGAAGGAGGAGTTACTTTTCGTATTATACTCCTTCACACAGAAGATACGAAAACAATGCACAGGTTGGCAGGGCAGCGCAGATTACAAAGCCTCAAGGTTGTCGCCTCACTCGCGGGTCAACGTCAAGGCTGCTCCAAGCTGAGCAGCTGACCTTGTCCTGGGGTTGTCTGACATCCAGTTACAGCCCCGCTCCTGTGTCAGGTAAGTCCACTACGGGCTCACCATAGCCCGTGCTACTTGGAACGTTTTGTTCCCAGTAGCTGAATCTTAAACAACAACAACAAACGGTTGTCTGATCTGGTTTGGGCTTGACTAGGCTAGTCGTGGCTTGTCTGGTCTATTTTGGAAGGTAGAAATAGCCTAAGCTACTCTATCCCTTTGGAATGTATTTTTTCTTGTCTCAATCAACGAACTTGAACTTGAACCTGTCTGTTTTCTCCGCTTTGTCTTAGCTTGTTTGGAGTTTCCTGGCTTGTTTTGGGCTTGTCTAGTGTTTTCGTGGCTTATCTGGACTCATCTATGTTTATCTAGGGTTATCTGAGTTTTTTCGACATAGTAAAACATGATTTATCAACAATTCGAGAGAATTCGGACTCCAATGATTTTAAGACATCTGTAATTGACCTTATAGTTTGTCCTTGTTATAAAGTCAAATAAAATTATAAAATGTAAATAAAATTATTTTCTTTACAATGTTTATGTGTACCCGAGATTCGACCTGTTGTCTTCCACGTCTTCACTTCTCCCTTCTCTTCTGATTCTCTCTCTAACTCCCTCCATCATATAGAGCATAATCTTTCTTTCCTATGAGATGTTTAGGCATGGGAGCGTCTCATTGGTCTCTTGTAGCAACGCCCTCAGGGTTAGGTGTGGCCGCTTGTGTAGTATCTTATACATTGTGTAGTATCTTATACATTGTGTAGTATCTTATACATTGTGTAGTATCTTATACATTATGTGGTATCTTATACATTGTGTGGTACCTTATACATTGTGTGGTATCTTATACATTGTGTGGTATCTTATACATTGTGTGGTACCTTATACATTGTGTAGTATCTTATACATTGTGTGGTACCTTATACATTGTGTGGTACCTTATACATTGTGTGGTATCTTATACATTGTGTGGTATCTTATACATTGTGTGGTACCTTATACATTGTGTGGTATCTTATACATTGTGTGGTACCTTATACATTGTGTGGTAT